GGGGGCGGCCGTGTTCTTCGGCGGCGCCTCGGTCGCCTTCGGACCGGCGCTGGCGCTCTGCCTGCTCACCGTGGCCGGGGCCCCGCTGCGCGTCCGCGTCCTCGCGGCTGGGTCAGCCCCGGGGGGCGCGGGGGGCACGCCTGCGCGGGCCGGGCCGGCAGCCCTGGACAGGCCCCGGCCCGCGGGAGGCTGCGGCCGATGGGGACTGTAGTCAGGGGGAGGCCGTGCGGGCCGGGACTGATGCAGCGCCTGCGGGGGCGGGGGGCGCCCGTCCTGCGCCCGCGGCCCTCTGCGGCCCGGGAACGCGGAAGCCCGGCGCGCAGGTGTGGCTGCCGCCGGGGGGAGACGCTGGCGCCGGGCGCCGTCTCTCCGCGCCTCTGCGTCTGCCTGCAGAGAAGCGTGTGGCGCGGCTTGCGCTGGCCCACCTCCTGCGGGGCCGCGCGGGGCCGCGCGCCATCCGGAGCCTGTCCGGGGGCGCCAAGGACGCGTGCGGCTCCGGGCCCCGGCAGTCCGGGCACAGCCCTGCTCGGAGCGGCCCCGGGCGGCCGCGGCGCTCGAGCCCCGGAGAGCCCGGTGCGGAAGGGGCAGCCGGCCCGCAGGGCGAGGGCGCGGGCGCGGGGGGCGCCTGCACCGCTGCGGCGCGGCTTGTGCCTCGCTCTCCGCCGTTCCGCAGGGCCTCCTTCGGGCTGCTCTCCCTCCCGCTGGCGTCCTCCGTTTGGTGTGTCTCCGTCCGCCTGAGCCTCCCGATGTTCGGGGCCGCCCTGTCGGTCCTGCTGCAGGAGGCCCTCCGCTTCGGCTACTCAAGCTGCTCAAGTAAGGGCGCCCTTCCTGGCGGGGTGCGGCCTGGCTGCGCAGGCATGGTCTTTCGGAGTAGTTGGGGGGCGTGCACGGGCCCCCCGGGTTTCCTTTCGTTGCAGCTGTGATAGTTCCCACAGGCCGTATTCTGAAGGTGCGCGGCGTGGGGGTCAAAACAGGTGGAAAACCTTGTCCCCAGGACTCTTTGCTAAGGCTTGCATCGTGTGCAGAAGACCCGCTGTTTGATCAGAGTTTAAACTGTAGTATAACGTCAGCTGCACGTTTTGTGTCTAACATACTGAATGTGAGGGGAACAAATCTTGAAGGAGAACCCTGGACCCTTTCAGGAAGAAAGGTTTACAGTTTGGAGTGATAAAATGTACTTACTCTAGCCAGATAGTTCAAATTTATGTACTCCGTGAGATTTGGGTTTGTGTTACATTTAGGTAAATAAAGCCTTTTAACAGATATTTAGTATCTTTAAAAAAGTTTTGTGGAGGTCTGATGTCTATGGACAAATACAGAAATCTGGATCTGATAGCTCAGCTGCTGTGGTTCAGGTGTGCCGAGCCACAGGCAAATACTTGCAGGATAGTGGTTTAAGAAAAACATTTGGGGGCAGAGGATTATCTCATATGGTTATGATTTTGAGGCCAAGAATTAAATCTGCCATGAATATGGGAGGGGGTTAATTGTTCTGAGAACTGTATACATTTTTTCCTAAGTGACTAGTCCTCATGGATATAAGAAGGAAGTACAAGATGTCATTGGCCAGGGACACCCATCAGCCAGCTGGTGAAGGTTCTGTGTTCCGCTCTCATGGGAGCCTTTAACGACTAGCATTTGCTGGCTGAACCAGAGGGCTGAGAAGAGTAAAAGCAGAGCTGGCAGTGGGGAAGCATGTCCGTACGGTGGACGGCTTGAAATGTGGCCGGGGACTTCGAGGGGCGCCTGCCAGGAGGGCTTTCTCTGCTCTTTGCATGGATCATGCAGCCCTTTACAAATAACACCCTCTTTTCTGGCACCGGCGGCCAATTTCTTGCTTGTTTTACATCCAGGAAAGCTGACAGAGGCCTGGGGACCATCAGGGAAGATGGGAGGTCTCCCATCTCCAGCAGGCAGATGGCGTATGGTGAGCGAGCCCCCAGCTGCTTCCTATCGCAGCTTCCCCTTCCAGGAGAACAGCCATTCCCACAGAAAGTGGCCACGCGTTGACCTTCTAGCCGCCTCTCAAGAGCCAAGCCCCACTTACTGGCCTGACGCAGCCCCTTTTGGCTTTTGAATGGCTGCTGCCCGCAACCCACAAAGCTAAAGAGGAAGTCTGTCACAATTCCGAATTTTGTTGCCTTTCCTGCTGGGACTGGTTTGCACAATCACTCTGCCGAGCGGCTGTGCGGAAGAGGCAGCGTGTGGCGAGCCTGCTGAGGCCGGGCTTTGTCTCCAGCTCTGCCTCCTGGAGTGTCGGGTCTCTGCTTTGGCGTCATCGGTGGCGTCTTCTCGGTGATCAACATTCCCGCAGATTCCATTGGGCCGGGCACCGTGGGGATCCACAGGGATTCTCCTCATTACTTCATCACGTCAGGTAAGAGCTCCTCTGGCACAGGTGTATCATCTGGCATCTCTGGACAGAGACGGCTGGCTGGCCCCGTGCCAGGGAGTCCCACGCTCCATCATCACAAGTCCCTAGGAGGAGCCATGCTGCCTTCCCTGGACCCGCCCCCATTCCAGGCACCAGGCATTCCATGGGCCTCCGACATGCGGGAAGGCTGGCGCGCCCTCCAGAGGCCCAGTGAGGGGGCGGTGAGCATAAACAATTTGGAATCTGGCCCTGGGGGTGAAAGAGGCTGGACGTGCACACCTGCAAAGTAACCCCTGGAACGGCTGGCCCTCCGTGGCATGACGTCCGGGCGCCTTCTCATTCCAGCCTTCCTCGCCGTGGCGTTCGTTTTCCTGCACACGTTCTGGGGTACGATTTTCTTTGATGCCGGCGAGAAGACGCGCTACTGGAGGCTGGCGCTGGTGGTCGCCGGTCACCTGGTCTCGTCGGGGCTGGTGAGTGGCCAAGCATGCCGTACCGCTCGCCTGCTTCCACCGCAGACCCTGAGCGCCACTTGGGGCGCGGGGGTCGATCAATGGTTGGGGTGCTCTTCCTGAGCGACTCAAGCATGGGCTCCTCCGTGTACTGTGGAAGCCTTTCCGGGCCCTGTGGGAAGGCACACCCAGCGCCTCCCTCCAAGGCGGGATAATCTCTGTTCAGACAACACAGGGCAATTTCTTGGGGTTCCCCGTGGTCACAGAGGGAGAGAATGAGGTGCTGATACCTTAAATTGCAGCAGATTAAGAATTGCACTATGGGGGGGGTGATTTGCCTCCTCAATCTAGACAAGAAGAACATGCAAAATGTAGGTAAACATAGAGTCTGTCAACTGTAAAGCAGGGGAGCAAATTCTGCCCCCCTGGGCCCGGTTTCTACCCCTGGGGCCAAACCGCTCCCCACCACTGCTGGAGCAGCTGCTGGACTGGCAGTCTGCAGATGCACAGCAACAGTGCGTTCCTTTTCATTTCTTGTGTGAAACGGAATGAAGCTCCAGGGAGGCACATTTGTCAGCGTCCCTCCGAGCGAGCGAGCGAGCAAGATCGGCCCCCAGCCCAGCCTCGTCAGCAGGCGGGTGGGCGAGCCGGGGCATCCGCTTCCCTGAAGGCACACGGCCCGAGGTTCGGGCTGATGGGTGGGCAGCTCAGACATATCCGGGTGCTTCGTGGGCACCGATGCAGCTTTTTGGGAAGGGAGCCGTGTCTGCCGGAGGTTGGGTCGGTCGGCTCTGCCCCGCCTCCCCTCACGCCTGATCCCTTGTCCTCTCAAGGCAGGGGCGGGGGTCCTTCTCGGACGGAGAGTCACGCGAAGCCCCTCTGGCCTCTCAGAACAGCAGGAGATTATCCGCTCCCACTCGCCAGTCGCCATGGAGATAAATCGAGGTCTACTTTGCAGAGGAGGCTTTGAGTGTGCTGCTGCAAAGGCTTCTGGGAGAGGGGGTGCGGGCGACGGCGGCCTCCTCGGCAGAGTTCTGAAGCCCCTTCTCGTTCTGTTTCCCCACCGCCCTCTCTAGACGTTCCTGAACCCGTGCTGCGGAGCAAGCCTCGTCCCTCATCACGCTCCCCACGGGTGCCTGGGCCTTCTCCACCGCCGGAGGCTCCCTGCGGAGCCTCGTCGCCTGCCTTTCCTGTGAGGCTCGTGGTCCCTGCGAGGCTTGTGGGCTGGGAGAGTGCAGAGCTGGGCGGGCAGGCCGAGACAGCCCCCGAATTGCGCCTCGCGTCCCGCATCCACAGGGAGGAGCAGAATAGCTTGCTTGCTACCTAAGCGAACCAGCCGGCAGTTTTATGCCTTGGCTTCAGCTTTCATTTCCCAAAAACAAAAGCTTTCTAGTGCAGAAAAGGCACAGCAGAAGCCAAGGATCTTCGTTTCGTTTCATTTAGGAAGGTGCCTATTACTGAGCCGGGTTCTTGGCTCACCGTCCGCACTGACTGGCAGCTGCGGCTCCCCTGGATTGCGGGCAAGAGGTTCCCAAACCCCCCTCTTGCAGCCTGGCCCCGTGAGGCCGTGGGCTCCAGGAAGCCGGTGTAGCACCGGCATTTTGCACAGCTCTGTCCACACAGAGACGAACGCGGTGCCCGCCTCGTGGGCGGCGTGGGTGGGGTGGACCTCGCGGCATCATCTGGGTGGCTGATGGTCTTCCTCCTGGGGGCCTGCTGCCCTCTTGCAGGCCGACGGAAGGAGGGTGACCGCGTCGTGCTGTGCCCTACGCTGCAAGTCCCCGTGGAGGACTGAGGCGCCCTCTGGCCTCCCGGAAGCAGGATGCTTCTACGGGAGGGCCGTTGCCCGGATGCCCACTGCTCCGCAGCTGCGAACGGCACGCTCTGCACTTGTGCCCTCTGTGCTCCTCGCCTGGCAAGAGCGGTCTTTGGACTGGCCTGCCCCGTCTCGCCCGGGGGCACCCTGGGGCTCAGGGAATTCTGCTTGTCTCTGGTGCGTGAGGTTCAGGGTCCCCCCACCCCCATCTGTTCCCGAAGATGGACATGTTGGTTAACCTCGAGCATTTCACTGCCCGCCTACGTCCGGGGCCTCCGCTCGCTGCATCTGCAGACTTTTGGTCTCGATCGAAGAAATTTCCAGTTGCTGTGCCCAGGCAAGGGGCCGGGCCCTGGCTGGCCGCTTGTGGGGCTCAGAGGAGGAGCTCACCATGGCCAAGCGCCTTCTCCCCTGGGCGCCCGCTGCCCCTCGTCTCTTCTGCTCGAGCGGGAGCTGCTCTGTGCTTTGCGGGCCTGGGTTTGGCCCTGGGGCAGCTTGCTGCTGGCCCTCCTCTAGAGCGGCCCAGCCCCGTTGGGTTCCGCTTTCCCAGCTGGGGCGCTCCAGTCTCGGGCAGACTGCAGGGATGGTGGAACGATCCAGTTCTGGCAGCGAAAGGCTAGAAAGGGGGTGTCCTGTCATTGTGAAAGAGCCCTTCCTAAGCGCATATATGTTTATTACGGTCCAGCCCTCACCATGGAGATGTTAGCTGAGGCTGATGGGAGTTGCAGTCCAATAACAGCTGGAGGGCTGCAAGTTGGGCCAAAGATGGGGCGATTGTCCAGGCACGTTCTGGAGGGGCGGCCTGGGGCGGGTGTCCATGTTTGCTGCTCTGCCCTTTCAGAATGGAACTCGGGTGAGCTGGCAGAGTCCTTGTGTGCGTGTTTTGCAGTCTGGTTTGGGCCCCGGAGCAAAGGGATCTCATGCAAAGAGGGCTCTGGGTCAAGGCACTGGTTCTGCTCATGTGCCCTCAGGGACGTGGGCCTCGGGCATCCCCGCCTTGCAGACCCCACAGCCTCTGCTACAGAGAGGCCGGGGTTAAATGTGCATTTCCTTCCCCCTGACCAGAGGCCGTTGCTCTATTTTTGGCCAAGAACGCAGCCAGTCCAGAGCCGGTACTGGTGGAGCTTTCACCCTGGCGCAAGCACAGCATTCCACACCTGCAGGCCAGCCGGTGTGGAATTTGGCGGCACCCTTGAAATAGCTCCTGCTCTGCTAAAGGGAGAGGCAGTGGGTTCTTCATTGCGAGAGACCCACGGAACTGCTGGGCTTCTCAAAGGCAGCACTGCATTCCCCTTCCTGGTATTCTGGGGACCAGTAATATGAAAACGCAAGGCACGAGGGCCCCAGGGTGGAGAAAGCGGGTGTCACCAGCTTTTTTTAATCTTTTAAGGGATCTGCTAGGGAGAAGAGGCACCCACTGCTTGGGTGGGTGGGTTTGGAGGGAGGCTGGTCTTCAGAGGGGTTGCTGAAAGACCTCCAAGAGGCCCAGCTGAGCTGAGGAGCCCTGAAACGTGCCCCGTGGCACAAACCTCAGGCGCCCAGAGCGCAACTCAGCAACATCGTGTGGCTCAGCCTGCCTCAACCCGCGTCTTTTCCTTAACCGATCCTCACCGTGGGTTTTTCTATCTCATTCCAGACAGGCAAAAACGACACAGTCACTGGGGCAAAAAACGGACTTTATTTCTTCGGTGGCGGTTTGACTCTTCCCAGCATTCCTAAGACACTCGAGGGGTTTTCTGATGGCAATAATCAGATTCTTGGGTGCTGCGTGGCGGGGGTGGGCGGCCCAAGTCTTGGGGCGAGGTGGGTTGGAAAAGGCCGTCCACACGGGCTCTGCTCTGGCTGCTCCTCACATGCTGACTCTGCAAGGAAAAGTCACGGTGGCCAACTCTTCCGTGGAAATAAGGAAATCTTCTGCCCAATAAGCTTCCAGATCCGTAAAATTCTTCTTGGGATTGTCAGTGTTGAGGTCGAGCAAGTTGCTTCCTGCAGCGCAGGAGTCTGTGTTGGGGGCGGGGGGGGGGGGGGCTGTCCACCCTGAATTTTTGCCCCAGTGCAGAGACTTTCCTGTCCGCCTTTTCTTAATGAGGCAGAGCGGAGGTGGCAGAGATGGGTTGCCAGTGCCGGTTGCCGGAGACCACCAAGAAGCTCCTGGAGGGCGGTTCAGAGCCTCTTCTCGCGGACCCACGAGCAGGTCCCTGCGATTCTTACGCTGCAGCCCAGGAAGGAGGGGGAAAGTGTTGGAGAGCTGTCGTGCATGGCAAGCAGGCCTCTTAATCTGCAATGGCTCGCCGGGAGGAAGCTGTAAACACAACCCCCTTCTGCTCTTGCATCCGTTTCTCTCTGGCTCGGAAAGAAGGAGACAAAAATCAGGCTGGCATAGGCCGGTTTTTTCCTTTCTTCTTCTGCAATTGGTTTTATTGGATTTCAATGTACTGTTTTATCATTTCCATCAAGTGTTACTGTGGCTGTGAGCCTGCTGAACTACCCAAGTTTTTGCTAGAAAGGAGGGGTACACATCAAAGGAAGTTGCACAGGTTGGCCTCGCGACGCAGTTATCCAGGGGATACCTCCTGCAGGTAGAAGAGAACGGCTTGGCCTTCCGTGTCTGCCTGCACCTCACCGTATTCGCTTCGCCACAATCCATCCGGCGAGGAAGATGCTCAGGCAACCCAAGAGCACCCCAAATATGATGGCAGCGATCTCACCTGGAAGGAGAGGGAAGGAAGGAGAGGGAGCTCGAGTCTGGCAGAAGTGATGGGGGAAAGGAAGTGCTCCCATGTTAGAACTGGGAGGAATGTCCCTTCCTCACTGAGGACTAGTACAGTGAAGAGTCTGAGCTGTGAGCCAGGAAGCCCCCAACTGTGGATACTCTTCGTTGGGAAGCCACTGTTCTGGGCTTTGAAATCTCTGGGTGTCCTGAGATTTGAGTCTGTGTGTTTTCTAAAATGCCTTTGTGCACTTCCTTGGAAATCTGAGAAGACAGAAGCTGCTATTCCTGCTCATTACCTGTCTCTCCCCCTCCCCTGTCCCCAGCTACTTCTCTCCTAGGTATTCTCTGCTTGGCTTCCCCAGGGGGGGAGGCTGAATATTTAGTCATTTATTTATTTTTCGATTTAGATCCTGCCTTTTTCCTACAAAGGCAGCTTACATCATTCTCCTCCTCCATCTTATCCCCACAACAACAACCCTGTGAGGTAGGCTGGGCTGAGATAGCCCCATTTGTGTTTTCCCAGCCCGTGTCTTCAAGACATCTCCAAGCTTGGCTGCTTTGCATTCCCCCCCACTGACTGCCCCCAGGATGTCGGGGCGGGGGGAGGTTTCTTGGGCAGGCTGTTCTGTATTTTTGAACATTTGAATGCATGTGTACACAGATTCCCCCCGCACCAAAAAAAAATATCTGTGGACCAAACGTCGTTCTGTGAGGCTTTTCTCCGCAGCCACTGCCATCACCAGCCAGCCTTCATCCTGGCAGCCTCTTCCCTCCACCCTGTGATATCCCCCATGGAAACCCTTGCGCACAACCCCGTATACCTGCAGAATATCCCGAAGGCCCTGTAAGGCAAAGGAGAAAGTACACTGAGAAGCGAGTTCTCGCACCGAGGGCCAGCCCTACAGCCAGGTCCCTGCCGGGGGACCAAGCGGTCGCACAGCATTGCCTAGCTAATTAATCTGCCGGGTTATTACGGCTTTTTAGCAATACCTGGATGCAGTAAAGAGCTCCTTATTGGGCAGCAGACTAATTTTTAAAAAGATGACACTGGATTACGGAACATGCATTGGTAAGTGCGCATGCATCTCTCCATCGGATGCCCTGAGGAATGCCTCTCCCTGTGTCCTTGAAGAAGCATTCTGCTTTCTCTGCAGGAGAGGATGCCCCTTGCCCAGCCGGGGATAGATACCGGGGGGCGGCATTTTTCACGCCCTCCCTCTCCCAGAACGGAATGGGAGCATTGAGGGCGGCCCGCTAGGCCGCTGGGGCCGATTCCGCGCTCCGTGCACAGCCCTGCACACGAGCCTGGGGCAAAGCCTCCCTTTCGGGATCGCGGGTGGCTTCTGCTTGCTCATGAGCACCTGCCCGCTCGGAGTGCCCGTTCCCTCCTGGCACCCCGAGCCCAGGCACGCTCGGGGGTGTTCACACGCCTGCCCAGCTCAGCAGCTTGCTTCCAGGCGAGGACGCTCGGTGTCCACGGGGCACCTGCCGTGACACCGCCGACGCCCCTCTTTTGGGGACCGACGGGGAGCGCGTCCGCTTACCCCCGGTCCGGGTTCCTGACCTGCCGCTGTGGGTGGGCCAGGCCACTTCTGCCCAGCAGGGGGCACTGCGCCCACACCTGTCCGCTGGCTACCTGGCAGGTGGCCGCCTGCCTCCCGGACAGCTCCCCGCGAGGAGCATCAGCAGGTGGGGCCGCCGGGGTCATCTGAGGGGGGTGCGCGTGGGTCGAGCTTCGCTGCCCTGTGGCACGTTGGGGGTTGCGCGGGGGAGTGGGGCGTGTGCATAGTCGCTGGGGGGCGCAGCGCGCCCCTTCGGGGCTCGGGGGGCCCCGACACCGCGCATCGCCTCCTGCTAGCGCCACTGAGCCGGGGGGCTTGCTCCGTGGGGCCACCGGCACCCTCCCACGGACCTGTCGGGGGCTCACCGGCAGGGAAGGAGGCCAACACCGTGCGCTGGTTCAGGGGCTGCGGGGCCCGGAAGTTGTCCAGAAGAAGCACTGCGGGGCTCGTCTCTTCCTCCGTGGCGTAAACGGATTTGTGCAGCTTCTCCAGCTGGAACACAGCAGCGTGAACCTGAGGCACCTGGTCTCTCCGAGGGAAAGCCCGCCGTTGCATGGCTTGCCTTCTGCAGGACTGAGGAGCCTGCCCCGGCAGGCTGGGTCTGATGGTCGTGGCAACCCCACCATCTGGGGTGCCACGGGGCACCTCTCCTCACAAGCCTTAACATTGGCTGCCAGCTCTCTGCGTTTTTAAAAGTTTAATTCCACAGTTCTCCTGCTCTCAGGGCGCACTGCTGGTTTACTGGATCACTCAGGATAGGAACATGCCGTTGACCCATGTTCCCCAAACCAAGCCGCCCAGCAGCAGCAGCAGCGGCAGAGGGTTTGTGCAACAGCTGCCCGGAAACAAGCCCCAGTGTCGCTTCGCTTTGCGGGAGCTGGAGCATCTTTGGCCAGCTTTCTTTGAAACTGCCCGTGTGGAGGCCAAATGGGGCTCCTTGGGAAGAGCTGCCGGGACTGAGAATGATACGAGGGTGCCCAAAGCCTATTTGGACTGGATAAAAACTATTCAGAGCAGCAGGCGCCTGACACAGTGCGGGCACCTCTAAGCTCTTCCCGCCCTGCCCCTTTCGAAATAAGGGTAACCGGAGCCCGCGGTGACCCCCGGGTCTCGCTCTTGCTCTGCAGCCTGCTGCTGATCGGATGCTGAGTGGACAGGAAGCGGAAGCAAAGGGGCGCAGCAGGGAGAAGGAGCGAGGCTGGAGGCTGGGAAGGCGGAAGGCGGCAGCGGCTGGGGCTGGGGCTGGGGCCAGGGCAGGGGAAGAGCCGCTGGGAGAGGGTGGGGCAGGGAAACAGCCAGAGGGAGCGAAGGGGAAAGTCTGTGTGGGGCCTGAAAGCATCCTCTTCCATTCCCCCCACAGCCCCAGCCCTGCCCCGTCTCTCGTCTACCACCACACAAGTACCCAGCCGTTATGCCTCGAGCCACACCCTCCCCAGAGCCATTTTGTGGCAGTGCCCACAGCAGCTTCCCCGTCCCCACGGATCCGGCAAGGCTGAGAAGCCCTTGCCCAGGGCGGGTGCCTGTGGGCAGCTCAGGAGGCCCACGGCTGAGGGAGCAGTACCTGGGCAGCCGAGAGCCGGGCCGGCTGGTGGAAGACGGTCCACAGCACGCTCTGGTGGCAGGGCGGGGTGGTCAGCGAGCCATTGTAGCGGAAGTAGTGGCCCAAATGCGCCGGAAGCAGGCCACGCACATCAAAGGCTGCGACAGGTGTTTCCTGTTCTGGCCCATTCAGGGGGGACAGGGAGAGGAGTGAGGGAGAGAGACTGGAGCCCCTGCCCATGGAGAGGTCTGGCGTGGCCTGGCGTGGCAGTCACCCCTCAGCCACCAGCCACTCGCGCTCCCTTCTCCCAGGCACCTTCCACCTCCCCTGGCTGCTTGTGCCGCTCCCTGCTGTTCCTGGGATTTTGGGGGGGGGGGGGCGCTTCACCTGTATATTGGATGTCCTCCAGGTGGTCCAAGATGTGGTTGTAGGCCGGGTTCTCCGCGGAGCCAACCTGCCGGAGCGCAAGGAAGGAATGAGCTCACAGCATGTGCTGCCCCGGGGCCTATTTCTACACTCCCCTCCATGCACCCGAGGCTTGAACAGGGAGACGTGGCCGCTTTCCCTTCAACAGCAGGGGAGACAACTTGATTGAAAAGCAGCGAACGGGAGAAGGAAAGTTAGCCAAAGGGGTATCTGAGGAGATGCCCCGTTTCACACAAACGGAGGCTCCAGACCAGCCCAAGACGTGTTGTCTGAGACGGAGGGCATCACTCTACCTCGTGGGCCCCAGGAGGAGGACGTGGGCCAAGACGCTGGCTGGCAGAGTGGAGACTGGTGGTGGCACCCGTGCGGCATCGGGACAGGGGCAGTCCAGGAGAGCCGCTTGACTTTCCCACTGCTCTGTGGCCTTTCCTTCCGGAAAGATGTCGGGATAACAAGGCATTGCGAAGACGGAACGGAGTGCATTGGGCCAGTGCCTCCTTCCAGCTCTGAACGACCCGGGAAACTTTTGGTCTCCGGCCGCCCCCTGCCAGCCCAGCAGCTGGCCAGAGAAGCCGGGAGGCGTGCCCCAAACCCCGAGGGGGGCACGCTGGAAGAAGCTGCCTGGGCAGCTCCTGTCCACCCCGCGGGGTCTGGCTGCACGCCAGGTGCGCCGGCAGGGGCTGGAGCGCCGCCGCGGCCGCAGACCTGCTCGCACCAGCAGGTGGCGCGGGGGCTGCAGGGCCGGCCATGTGCGCGCTCCGGCGCAGGAGGCCGGGCACCTCGCTGAACTGGCCGCAGGGGGCCCTTCCTTCAGCTGCCCCTCGCTGGCACCACGCCGGGCGGGTCTCTGGAGTCGTCGCGAGCAGCAGCATCAAATGGGCAGCCATCCAGGATGGCGACGGCGGCCAAAGGGGCGCGAGTGTGAGGACTTCGCAGAAGCACCGGAGTTTCTGTGTCGGGCGTGCAAGAGCTGCTTTTCTCTCTTTGTTGAACTAGAACTCCAAGACCCGCAACTGAAGCTGGGGCTGCAGACACGCCCCGGGAGCAACCCTTTCCGAGCCCCGGCATTTTTAGTGAGTACCAGAACTGCACGGTCTTTCCTGGTTTCCTGCAAGCGGTGTCGTTCGTGGGAGCACGATTTGCTGCCGCAACTGTTGGAAATCGGGAGCTAGAATTCCTTCTGTCTCCGCCCAGAAATGTACCTATTGAACCGTATCGGCCTTCTGCCTGGGCCCTATTCTGCCTGGGCCACGTTCTTGCAGAGCTCACCTCCAGAAAGACGCCCAGCACTGCCAGTCCGTCGGGCTTGTCTTTGGCCTCGCTCACGTTTGCGTACTTGTCGGAGTTGAAATGAACAACGTGGAGCTGAGGGAAAGAGAACGCATCAGGCTGCGGATTAGGCAGCCTGGGAAATGCCTTGAAACTAATTTGGCAAGCATCCTAAAGCCATTATATAAATGTTTGGCACGGCCACAAAAGGACTAGAGAGCGTACCCTAAATGACCGAGGGGCAGAATTTTAGAAGCAGGTTTTATTGATTCTGTTTTGACATGTTGTCCTTCTCCGTCTGCCTGCTTTACTGTTTATTGCTCATAGCTCCGGAATCTCCATACTGGAATATGGAGCAGGATAGAGGTCTGGTAAACGAGCAAGTGACAGCCGTCCGAGCTTTTCTGCCTGGCCACTGGGAAGCTCGCATGAAACCTCTCCCCAGAGGATGCCCGCGAGTCACGGCAGTGTTTCCCACAGGCCTTCAGCCGGTTGCAAGTCTGCGGCCGCCGGGTCAGGTCAGGTTTTGCTCAGCCTTCGCCGTGAAAAAAGGGCTCCTCTGTCCTTCTTCCGCCCTGTCCCAAATTGCCCGGTTAATCCCTCCTCAGCCCTCTGGGAACTGCCTGGCACCTGATCTGTGCGAAGTGCCCAGGACTGGGGAGATGCGGGTCCAAGTTCCCCTCAGCCACAAAGCTGACTGGGTGAGACTTTGGGCCAGTCCCTCATTCTCAGCCTAAGCTGCCTCGCAGGGGTGTTGTGAGGAAAAATGGAGGAAAGGAGGAACATGTCCCCCCCCCACCCCTGGGCCCCATGAAAATGGGGGGAAAGCAGGACGGAAACGTGATGCATGGGAACGGCCCTGGACAAACGGAGGAGCTTGGCCGTCCCTTGTGAGCCCCTTCCTGGCTGTTTCCAGCCCACACGGCCGGAGACAGCGAGCACGGCGGGTGAGGCCAGCCCGGGCCCCGCTGACTTACCTCGGCAGGAAAGGCCCGGCCGTCGACCTGGTGCTCCGACCCCTTGGGGTGTCCCTTGCCGCCCCAGTGGAGGTGCAGCTGCACGGCCGAGTATTTCGAGGGGAGGCCATGCAAGCGCAGGCTCTGCGGGAGCGACAGCTGCACTGCATGGGAGGAACGCCAAGAGCCGTGAGTCGGGCCCTGAACGGAGGGGGGCGGGCTTTGCACCCCCGTGAAACGCACAAAACTGAGCGGCATCCAGAACCTGGCCATAAGGTGAGGGGTTTTTTTGCTTGCTTGCTTGCTTGCTTTAAAGCAAATTGGTGGCGAGTTTGCCGAGGTGCGCACGAGTGCGTCCGGAGGGTGGGTGGCCCACGAACCAGGGGTGAGTGGGTGGGAAGGGCCTCCACGGGACTGGTGCCCTGCAGAGAGCTTTGCTGGCTCACAGCTGACAAAGCCGCAGCGTCTGTGCGCGCTGCCTCGACAACTGGGCCACGGCCGACGTGGCTGTCGGCACTCGGAAGCACAGCACTTGGGGGCGGCCTCCCATCATGACAGCGCCATGGCGACAAGGGGGCCCTCGGATGATTTATGGCACTGGCAGACCTGCCCCAGGTCGGTGCCCTCCAGGGGCTTTGCCGAGCCAGCACGGCAGTTGGCCGGGGCTCATGGGAGCTGGGGCAGCACCCAGGGGGCTGGGGAAGGCCCGGCCAGGCCAGAGTGGTCCAGAATGGCCAGGCCAAGGGGAGGTGATGCCCCGTTCCACCTGCACCCCTTGGCACCAGGGCCAGCCGGAGGAGGGTCTCTCCCGCGTCGTGGCTGCCACAGGCCTAGAGGTCACTGTGGGCTGACGGAGCTGCCTCCCCGCGGAGAGCAGGCACATGCTGGGCCACACGACACAGCCACCCTGGGCTCGGCAACAACCCACGCTCCATCCATACCCGGCCTTGGTTTGGCTCATCGTGTTGTGTGAACCCAGCTGACCCTAGCAGGCGCGTGACCGTCTCGAGAAAAGTGTCCGCCCAGCCCGACGGAGGAGCAGGGCTGCCGGGAGGCGCCTCACCTGTGTGCCCGTTGTTGGTCAAGGTGAAAGTGCTGCCACTGGGGTCCCGGTACCCCTCCGGCTCCACGGGAAGCAGGGATGGGTCATACTGGACGGAGCCCGTCTGTATGTCGATGGGGGACTGAGCTTGCCTCCCGCAGTCCGGATAAGAGTCCGGCCAGTGCTCCTGCCCGTGCGGCCCTGAAAAGCGGGGAGGGGCACCAACGTTTGGACCAGAGCATGGCTTGGAGGAAGAAATCGGGAATCGGAAAATGCACTCGTGAATGTTGGGTGTCTGTTAAGCACCAGTCCTGGGGGGTCACTCAGGTGCGTGGGATCCCTCCAGGCAGGTTGAGCTGCAACACCTATCGCTCCCAGGCGGTGTGGCCGTTGGGGGACGGTGGCTGTTGTAGTTGCATGAAGCTGGAGAGTGCCAGATTGAGGAAGAATATCCCGCTTGCATGGGTGGCTTCTTGCAGTGGCGAAGGAAGGGAACTCTGTGCATGGTCAGGAGGAAGCTTTGTAATGACTCTGTGGATTTGGGGGTGGGGGGAAGCATCTGCAAGCTGCCTCCCTTCCTAGCAATTTCAGAGTGGAGGGTGACTTGGCTCCCAGTGAGCGGAGGAGCACTGCTCCTGTGGACACCCAGAAGGGAGCTTTAGGGCGGGATGGGGAAGAGGAGAAGGGCAGGGCCCCGCGTTCCCTCCTTCACTTCCCAGATGGGCACCCGCGCCAGATCTGGCAAAGGAGGGAGGAGAGGAGGGGAGAGCGGGAGAAGGCCAGGCAAGAGCTTTGCCTTCCGGAATGGCTCCAGGACCGGTGGGTGGGCAAGCTGCTTTGCATCTGAATGCGGCCACTGGCACGGCCGGCCCCTTCCTTGGCCGCCGAGCGCTGCTTTTTTCCAAGTGGAGAAGCAAGGATAAAGCTCACCCCACAACATTGTTATTCTGGCAGGCAGACTGGGAGCTTAGAAATCACCACCCGCTCTCCTTTTTTAAACAGGAGAGGGGCAGAATCATCAAACCATTTTTGTCTGCATCCAGAGACTCCCAGGATTCTCCGGGCCTGGGAATGAACCTGGACAGACACGCAGCCGGTCAGCTGGGATCGGTTTTGGTAAGAAGAGCCGCTGCTCTTCTGTTGGCCGCGGGGGGAAGTTGACGCACCAGCCTGGCCCAAGTCGCTTTCTCGGCCCCTCCTGTCCACTGCGGAAGCCAATTCTGCCTCTGCTCTGGATTGTGACATGTTTGCAAACAAACCGAATCGCACACGTTCTTGCTAAAGGAAGCACCACCTGCTAAGTACGCACAACTCGGAAAAGACTGCTCCGCGGCAAAGCGTGCTGGTCAGATTTGGGGGCAATTTGGAGTCGTGGCTGACCATGCCTCACCCTGTCTGGGGCCATTCCCGTTTCTTCACGTCCCCAAGCCAGCTTCCCCTCTGGGTGAGGCCCACGGGAGGCACCCCCGTGGGCTTCTGGCAAAGTGCGCCATCCATCCTCGCTGCGCTCAGTTGTGCCCGCAGCCCGGACCCTCAGCTCGCCTTCTTGGCCCGGAAAGACCCCCGTTTCAGGAAGGGCATCGGGCAATGTGCTCCTTCAGTAGGCGTGAGGAGTGCAGAGAGATTCCATTCCACAGGAGGCCACCTGGACTCTCCAAGCCCCTCCTGGGTGTGGATGGGCCCAGGCAGGAAGCAACCAGAAGCAGGGTCCCAGGTCCCAGCAAGAGCTGCGCTGCCACCCAGCTTCATCTGTGCCCGCCCGATCTGGGAAGGCAAGCAAGAGCACTCGCAAGCCTGACGTGCATCTTGCTTCAGCGAATTGTCTGCCATTCTAAGTCCTGGGCACGCAGTGTAATACATTAATAATAATAATTAGTCATAATAATAATAATTAGTCATAATCGGGGCGTCAGCACCGTGATCCCGGAGCCAGTGCTGTGTCCTGCCAGGCTGACTTAGCTGCGCTAAGCCCCCGCCATGCCTCTGCCTCGTGAGAGCTTCGGACTCCAGGGGGGCTCAGTCCGGATTGGGTGTCCCCCCCGCAAGCGGATCGGGCTCTCCTGGCCAAGCGCCAGGCAGGAGCCTGGGCACAGTTGTTCTCCCCCTGGAGGAGCGATTGGGCTGGGAAAACAGGCAAGTGGCTTGAGCAAACACTCCGCCTGCTCCAGGCTAGCTGGGAAGGATGGGAGTTGTAATCCACCCTGCCGTTCCTTGCCCGGCATCAGTCAATGCCTGGCTGCCGATTCCGTGGGGTGGCAGCCGCCCCTCTGCTGCTGCCCTGGCGCGTGCCTTCAAAGCTGGCTGTGGCCGCCCCCTCGGCGAGCCGCGGGGTCCCTTGTGCGCTGCCTCCGGGAAGGACGGCCAGGAGAGCCGCATGTTTTTGCTTCTGGGTCGGGCTCTGACAAAGCTCCTTTCTCCGTTCTTTCGCAGGGCTCAGTGGATTTGGCGGGGAAGGCTGGCAAAGACCGGCACCGCCGGGACGTGGCCCGTGGTGCCGGGAGGGCAGCCCAGGTTGCACACGGCATGCCTGCCCCACGTGCCCTTCCCATTTCGGGGGGAGCAGCCCCCCTCGCCAGCCCTCTCAGTGAAGTCCTCTGTTTAAATACCCCGATTCCCATTATTTTCACACACAAACCCGCCCTTGCTCCTTCTGCAGGTCAGTGCTGTGTGCTTTGCATGAAGCGACTTGCTTCGAAAGCACCGCCAGCCCCCTCCGCCAGTGCCGCTGAGGGTGGGGGCGGATCCGGTCCCTGCCTGCCCGGGCCGTCCAGCATTTGCGAATCGGGCACAAGGAAGGGAGCAGCTGCGAGGCCGAGTGCCAGAGAGAGGGGACTGAAAGGCCACGGAGGTGCCCCAGAGGAAGGCTGCAGGAGGGCAGGGGGAAGGGGCCGGGTCTTTCGAAGGAACCTGAGACTGGACCATGCTGTGCAATCACCATTTGAGCAGCAGCTGCAGGCCGTGTGAGGCATGAAAGTGCTCTTGGACGCTACTTGACCCAGATTTTCCTCTGCTTTGAGCTAAAAGGACGGCCTTCCTAAAAGTCACCCCAGTTTCGATGCTCAGGGGGAGGCTGTGCCTGGCCAAGTGCTCTCTGCACATGCTCAGCAGCCCCTTTACCGCATATCAGATTCTGGTGCTGATTTGCAGCAGGATCTTGCTGGGACTATGGAGACCTAGCAGATACCTGCCCTGGAGTGCTGAGGAGCGAATTTGCACCCACCCCAAACCCCGGGAAACAGGGCTCGCCTTACCTTCATATGTCCAGTGGGAACCTGCAAAGGGAGAAGAGAAGGGAAGCGATGAGTTGCGTCGCTCCTCTTAGAACACGCTGGCAGCCGCCGCCGCTTGATCCAGGCGCCGCTTGATCCTCCAGGGTGGCTGTGCTAAAGCGGTAGCGTGGCCGGGAGGCCATGGCATCCCCAGATGCCCTGTCTGGGCATCGGCTCCCATCAACCCCAGCCAGCATGGCCCATGGCCAGGAATGCTGCTAGGGGTTGCTGCCCGAAACCCCCAGGGAGCTCCAGGTTGGAGAAGGCTTCTCCAGCCAGCCACGTGCTTGAGATGAGGGCTGCGGAAAGCCCTCCGCCCCACCCGCAGGATTAGCAGGGTGGGACAGGGGGAGCTCCCCCCACACACACACACTTTCCAGAGCCCCTGATCTGCCTGGCAAAGGCCTCATCACTGACAATCTTCAGAGGGGAGGGGAGGGGAGGGTCCACTCCAGCTCCCCTCTCTCCCAAACACCAAACTGCCCCTGTCCATTTGGCAGCGAGCTCATTCGGGATGCAAATAAACCAGCAATGCATTTTATCTGGGAGATTTCGAAGGGAAATTATTTGGCGGGCTTTGCCTCCTGTGACATTTCAGTGAGCTGAGCCCTTATTTCCAGACCCGCACCCAGAGATGCGAAGGCCAGAGCCGTGCCCCACGGTCGGTCGCTCTCCAGCCTCACTCCAGGCAGGCCCCACAGGGCTCTCCTCTCCTCTCCTCTCAGCACAGGCAGGCCTGAAAAGAACTTCCCAATTTGTTCCACTTACTTGCCCTCTGAGACATTCTGCTCTTTTAAATAGGCCCTGTAATTTTTTTTAAAGAGCTTTGGTAAAAGGACAAAAAAGGTCGCCCCATCCCCAGGGAATGGCTACTCAAATGCCAATTTACATGAACCTCTCCGGTTACACCTCTGAAGTATCTGCTGCATTGTCTTTCTCTCCCTCTCTCCCTCTTTCTTCTTCGTATCTCTTGCCTTAAACATGCCTCTGTTTTGCAAAATAGGACATAAACTTCAGCCTGAAACTCAAGTCTTAGATCCAAGAGATGAAACTTGAACCAAAACCGGTAGCCCTAGAGATAAGTGAATCAGAATTTGTTCTGCACCGAAAAGGGCAACCTGTCCCGCTGCAGAAACGTGACCTGCAAACAGGCAGCTGCTAAATTTACTTCTGCAACGTGAGCCTCAGGCTTGGCAAAAGGAGGGGTGGGCTCTGTCTCTCTGCCGCCCTCAAGCAGGCACCCCCATCCTCGGGCCCATGTGGATCTGAATGGTAAGCCGTCTAGAGATCCACTGGGTATTGGACAGGGTAGAAAGACCCAAATAAATAAGGGTTGGACTGCCGCTCCCAGCATCCCCAGCCAGCATGCTTGGAATTGCAGTCCGTCGCCTGTGGAGGGCAGGGAAGGCTGCCCTGAAGATTTGGGGGGAAATGAATCAGGGAGAGGCAGTTCTGACTCTGGGGTCCCACCGGGTCACGATCTCATGGCCTCCCGATCGCTGGTGTGGCTGTTGGCCCCCCTCCCGCCGCCTCGTCCTCCCCACCGTCCCGTCCCGGGCGAGGGAGCATCTGCTCCAGCAGGAAGCGGGCCTGGCCAGCCAGCGGGTTTGCAGCTCGATCCTCTCTGCATGTTTAGAGCTATGCCCCCGAGGGGCTCAGACAGCCGGGCTGGCCTTGTAGACTTTGTCTCTGCATGAGTAGGATTGCGCCCTTCAGCAGAAAGCCCCACTGGGTGGAGATCTGGGGATGCAAACCCACTTTGCCAAATGCAGGAATGTCAAGATGGATCCCCCCCACCCGCAATCCCATCGCAACCGGCTGAGCGGTAAGTCATTAGGCAGTACGATTTTGTTCATTTAGGCCAGAGGCGAGACGAAGGTTCTCTCTCCAGTGCAGACATTTATTAACTGTCCACTCGCCAATATTGGCTTTTGTGCTTAAGGCATACAAATGCAAACTTCCGCTAGAACTCTCGCAGGCTGTTTTAGTTGGGGATTTTTTGCAAAATACAAGCCCACCCTCCCATGGGTCTGCGCCATGTCTGGAGCCTAATGCTTCCTGCATCTGATGAAGGGTTTTGCTGCCATAAAGTTGTCTTTTTGAAAATGCCACAACACATTCTAGTTTCCCAGCTCTCCGACACCCAGCCAAGAGTCTGGTAAAACTTACATGCCTACATTGTCTAAACAAGGTCCATGCAAAGATCAAGCTTTCTCTTCTGGCCAAGGTCTACCCTTTTCTTTCCTTTTGGGTTAGGCTGACGTTACCGCTTCACATTCCAAACAAGGAAAAGGTACATTGGAGAAAACATTCCCAAAGGCTCACACTGATATTGCTCCTGGATAATTGCAGGAATTATTCAGAAATCCCTAACTTTCCTCCTCTCTTGGGGTCCAAGCAAATGACCCAGATGGAAAACATTTAAATGATTGCTGTTCCTTTCCTGCAGAAGGAAATGAACAGTCACTTTTAGACTTCATAAAAGTGCTCACCTTCCCATGGCAGTATTTGCTCACTGCTTATCCTGGATTTTCTCTCTGCTGTCGTTCCTCCTATTTATTAGATTTATAGCCTGCTTTTTTCTTAGAATGAACTCAGAGTACCTTACTTCATTCTCCTGCTGTTGCTCTCAATCTTATCCCCACAGCAACAGCCCTGTGAGGTAGGCTGGGCTGAGAGTCTGTGACTGGCGCAAAGTCACCCAGTTGGCTCCATGGCTGAGCGGGGACTCGAACCCCGATCGCCTGAGTCCCAGCCCTACGTTCTTAACCACTGCGCCACGCTGGCTCCTATTTCTTCCCTTCGTGCCATTGTTCCTTTCATCCCCAGATCTGAATAGTGCTGCAGAAAAATCAAATGGTGCCTGTCTCCCACTAAGACATGCACATTTAATTCCATCCGGACGCTGAACAGTTGCCGTTTCTTGGATCTCTGGGATGTTATCTTGGGTAGGTGGAGAGTCGGGAACAGCATCATGTGTATCCACAGCAATATTAACTATATGCTCACTTTTACAGACTCTGAAACCAGATTGGTCCACACAGACTGTGATGGTGAGCGCAATCATGAAAGCGATATCCTTCGCGTTCCGGTGCGCTGACCCTGTTCCGATTCTGTCCCCTCAGGGATGTGAGGTTCTCCCTAAAAGGAGACTCAGCGAGAGCCAACCCAGTTGGCGCACCCCCCCCCCCCGACCTTCTCCTTCACGAACCCTCCTGAAATGAGCGGACTTCCCCAAAAGCACCTGCATTCAGGTGAGTCCAGCTTGCGCAAGAGGGTCATGCATGTCTCGTGTTTGGTTAGTAGGAAAGGAGAAATCACTGCCTGGACTTCCATCTCAGGCACCGGAACAGTCTGGCTGCTTCTGAAATTTGACATTGTGCTATTGAAAACCAGGGTGAGAAAAGGCGTTTAAATCAAAAAGACAGATACCGGTGCGATTCAGCCTTGCCAGTGGGACTTGCCAGTGTCTTGGGCTTCCACCACTGGCCTTGCAGGCTGAGGCTGATGGGATGTGAAGTCCACAGCATCCAGAGGGCACCAGGTTGGAGATTAGCTGGCACGGCTGAGTAAAATTTCGCAGACAGGCATAATTTTGAGCATGGCCTTCTTTGTCTACATCCTGTGCACGTTTTCCTGAGTGCAAATTCCACTGAACTCTGGGAGTTTGACTTCTAGGCAAAGCACAAACTGGATACCCACAGTAGCCTCTGTGGAACAGAGACCTCAATAAATCAAGAAGATCCATGGGGTGTTTTCTGGGGGAAAGGGTTAGCATCTATAGGCTTGGCTGGGGATCCCACCCAAACATCATGTCTGGATTTGCTTGGGTGATTGTTGTTGTTTCAAATAAATAGGGAAGGTTTTTGTAAACATACATACATTAATTTAAAAGCCCTCGCAGTCCTGAGTGGTTGCAAGCCACTGGCCCCTTGTTGAAGCAAAAAAGAGCAAGCAACAAGCTTGTCCAAAAAGAAGAGCTTAATTGCATCCCCAAGAAGCTCAGATACCCAAGTAGCAGCAGTGTGAAAATGCAGAGAGGCAGAGAGGAAAACTTACCACCACTTCCAGCCAGGGCTTGGGAAAAGGCTTGCAGGAAGAATGTGAGGGCTAGGAGCATCTCGGAATGCCAGAAAAGCAGCAGCAAGAGGGACCAGACAGGGAGAAAAGGCGGGTGCGTCCAGGGCCAAAAGGGGTGTCCTTTGTTCAGTGGATTCTCGGTCTAGGCAGAGATATTGCCTTGAAGCTCCCAAACAAAACGCTCGCCAAACAGCGAGCGGAAGGCCCACCCCACCTCCGAGGGGAGCCCCCCACGGCCTTTGCCCCTACCTCGTCCTTCCAGGGGGAGTCGTGTGATCCCCCATTTGCCACCACGAAAACAGGAGCCTGGGGGCTTCTTAAGGTGGCTCTGGGCAGCGGACGGCGCTTGCCCCGTAGCGAAGCCTCTGCTCCTTAAATACTTCACCCACAAGGCAGTGGCGTCCCAACGGTGTTTGGACAGGACGGGGAGGGGGAGGGGGGCAGCTGGGATTTGGCTCCTGTTCAGGCCTCTGCCAGCCAAGTCGCGATGCGAGGCCGGTGCCTTTCATCCCCGGCTTTGGCGAAGTGGAAGAAAGCAGAGCCCCAAAGGACGGCTGCGAAGGGGCAGCCTTCGCGGCAGTTAGAAGCGGCCCTGGCAGTCGGGAGCGGGGTTTTGCCGGGGGCCTGGACTGGAGAGGGGGTTCTTTGCCAGCAGCGGGACTGCAGCCGTGACCTCTGGCGGAGGTCGTGAAGACAAACGTTCCACTGAGCATACCCAGAATGCGCGTCCCTTACTGCTGGTGCAAGAATGGTACTGAGTGTTGGCATCATAAGCAGTTTCTGAAATTCCATCTTAAAAGGAGGCAGCATCCTGCAGAGTCCTGTCTCCCTCTCTTGGCTGAGCGTGAAGTGCCTGAGATAATGCTGGGGCCCCGCTGAGTGCTGGGACTGTCTGGCTAGCATCTGTCGCTTTCCAGTGGGGGCCACGCAATATGCCATCAGCCGCGACAGGCTCGGTTTCTTCTGGTGCTCCTCTATAGTACACGCTCAATGAATGGGGAAGGAATGGGGCTCGCAGTGGCATTGCCCCTATAGCAGCGGGGCAGGATGGTGGGACCCTGGGGCGCAATGCACGCTGCCCGCGTTCTCTAGGTCAGTGGTGGAGAACCCATGGCATGCGTGCCACAGTGGGCACGCAGAGCCCTCTCTGTCGGCACGCGAGCCAGGTCACTCCAGCATCACCCCAGCAGCTGAGCATCAGATAACAGCGCACATAGGGGCCATGCGCATGCTCAGAAAGGAGTAGCGGCACCAGGCGGTGACGTCACGAGCCGCGACTCATTAGCCATGACTCATCCGAGCTTTCGCATGGCCGGTCAGTGCGCTGCCAAGGAGATATAAACATATATTTGCTTGGACTGGCTGTGAGTTGTTTTTTCTAAACTAAAACCTCAGTTTTCAGGGTCGATTGCAGTGCTGGCACTTTGCGATAAATAAGTGGGTTTTGGGTTGCAGTTTGGGCACTCGGTCTCTAAAAGGTTCGCCATCACCGCTCTAGGCATTCTCGCTTGCTTCCCGCTTTCCTCTGGACATGGGTCATTTTGAGGTTTCCTGGCGTTCATGTAATTTTCCCCACTCTGAAAGGATGAAACTCAGGAGTCGGGATTGACGCTAAGAGCTGTGCTGTAAAACAGGCTTGCATTTTTGGCCCCTGCCTCTGAACTGCGGCCCCCGAGAGACTCTCTGCGGTAGTGAACCTCCAAGCCCTCCTTTCCCCGGGCTGCTTCCCTCCAGGTGGTGCTGTGCATGCGCGCCACAGTTCTCCTTCGGCGTTTATTGCTCAGGGAACGCTCCCCATCCATCCAGGACTCCATTTTTCGACCACCTCAGCCAAAGGAGGAAGCCATTGCCTTCCTATTTTGCATTCGGGCTTCCCAGGGGCCTTGGAGGGGCCGTCCTGCTGGGGGAGCAAGCTGCAGAGTCCCTCGGCCAGATCCGGCCTGGCTCCCTTGCCTGCTTTGTGGGGGAGCCAGAGGATGACGGCCAACCCAGCAAGCAGAGGCAGCCGGACACCTGACGGGAAGCATTTGCTTGCTGCTGCATCCACGAGAGAAGGTTTTGGGTGCAGAGCATGGAGAGCAGGAGAAATCTGGCAGGGAGAGGCCCAGGCAAACACGCCTGCCAGATACGGGCCTCGAATTTTCCCTTCCTCCCTTCAGCTGCCCCACAACATTCCTCTGAAGCTAAGTGCCTCCTTCTGAGGAGGGCTCTGCTATCCGCCAGGGAAGGTCCCTGTGGTTAAGTGCTCCTTTGCCAGGCAGCCTCCCCGCCAAAAGCCCTGCTTCCCCAGAGATGGCCTCCTGCCAGAGATGGCCTCCTGCAACTGCAGCTCTCTCTGCGCATGGGAAGTGTCTGCAGAAGCTGCAGCGTCTGGTGGTGCCTGAAAGGGTAACCAATTCCGACCAAAGCTTCCGTGGGCTCATCAGGTGCAGGATGTGTCCCACCAGGTGGAGTAGGGTTGACTGTGGGGCCAAGGGCCAGCCTATGACCAGTGCCGGAATGGGTGATTTCCCCACAATCTTCTGCACTTTGATCTGGAGTGGGGAGCAAATCATTGTTGCGCTGGCTTCCTGAACAGACAGGATCCAAATTTAGCAGGAATTCTAGCTCGCCACGTCACAGAGTTCCTTTGTTGAGAAATGGCCACTTACAAGCCAGCAGCCCGGCCGAAAGGATCCCCTGCCGCTTTCTAAGCGGTGTCACCTGCAGTATCAGCCGGGCTGTCCTGCTTACCCTTTTTCATCGAGACTCGGGAGCTTGTCCGGCACAGAAGGGCCCCCCGACAGAGGAATGGTGTCAACCGCAGGGCAGGTGGGCCAGGCAGGGGCCGGGAAGCTGATGGTATGGCAGGTCCTCTGGGGGCCTAGATCCAGGGACAGAGGTGGCTCCCAGGTTGCTGATCCAGTGTTACCCTGGAAGTGTGGGCCTTCTCCCTGGCTGATGGCATCTGTTTCCTGCTGTTCTTCCAGGGAGCTCAAGGCCTTCCTCTCTTGCTTTATCTGCACAACGATCCTGCAAGGATGGTTAGGCTGAAGAAAGACCATTGCTGGCCCCTGGTCACCGCTGAGGATCTGAATGCAGGTAACCCTGCGAGGCGAAGGCAGGTTACTCTACCTGGCTGGTGCACGCGCCTTTTTCTGCCTGTTGCGGCTTCCTAGGCTTTGGGGCAGCCACGGACTCTCAGTCCAGCCCACCCTGCTGGGTTGCTGTGGTGAGGACAGAATGGAGAGGAGGGAGCCCAGAGGAAGAAAGGTGGGATGTAACGCAAGGTGGTAATAGCAATGGTTAAGAAAGGAGAAGCAGGGCAGGGGGCTTGGGAGAAGGAGCGCTGGACTCCTGGGTCGGGAAGGAAGAGCATCTGCGGGGAGCCCGAAAACGGGGGGCGAGGATGAAGCGGTCACAGCCGCCTGAAGCCCCGGAACGCCGTGGCTGCCGCAGCCGCTTCTCCAGCAGGCTGGCTTGGAGCGCCCTCCAGTGGTGAAGGAGGAGCACGGGTGGCAGAGAGCGGAGCCCAGGGGGAAGCGGCGCCGGGGGCCGGGGAGGGGGCGCTTCCGCAGGAAAAACCTGCCCCGTTCGCGTTCGGAGATGCGCCCAGGGACGTGGGTCGGGAGAAGGTTTTCCGGCCCCCGTAATGTGAGAGCCCAGCGGGGTCTCTCCATGAGGCTGATGGATGGGATCCAGCAGACCCCCGCAGCGTTTGGTCAGCCCCGTGTGAACAGGCTGCTGGTCGGACCCAGCAGGGCTCAGAGCTGGGTTCGGCGGTTTTATTCGGTGGGCTCAGGGCGGGGAGGCTTAAACCCCGGGTAGGTGTCCAGACGTCAGGGTGCGGTGCAGGAAGCGTTTGCGCGTCTCCTTGTTCCTCCTGCATCGCCTTGGCTCCTTTCCCAGGACGAACACGCCCAGCAGCCCGCGCACGTGGCCCGCTTGCCTTCAGCCCGGTGCCAGCATTTTGATGTCTGTGCCCTGGTACTCTCACCACCTGCCTGCCCAGCCGGTTCAGCTTTGCCCTGGGCCCTGCAGATGATGTTGCTCCACAGCTGGCGCAGTGCAAAACCGCCGCCTCGGACGGGGCGCGGCAGCGTCGGCCCAAAATGGAAAGGCAGAGGGGAAGCTTTCGGACCCTCTAGCGGATCTTGCATGTGAAGAAACCCACGCTGGAGCTCACGGCTCCATCAGCCCAGCCAGCCTGCAGCCCGCCAGGTGTTTTCAGACGTCCCCCATCAGCCACCGCTGGCCAGGCCAGCAGCAAGAAATGCTGGGCGCTATTGTCCGAAGCATCTCGCGGGCGCCAGCTTGGGGAAAGCTGGGGCAGGGCTTTATGGCACCCCATGGTGACCCAGCTCCCCGGCACTGAGGCACGATGCCCTGCAAGGAGGGGGAGCGGAAAGTCGTGCAGCTCCCGTCCAAAAATATTTGACCGCATGCATTTAAATGCATCTATTATACATGAGCTACAACGAAGGCAGCCCAAATCTGTATGGCCTTTGGAGAGTGGTGCCCACAGGCCGCCTGCTCAGATACGGGAAGCCCCATTAGGTCTTCAATCCATCGCACTGTGGAAGGGGAGCTTTTACCGTTCTGATGTGGCCCAGAGGATCCACGAGGCTTTGACTTCCAAGAAACGGGGATGATTTAAAAGATCGCCTGCACCAGGCGACTTTAAAGCACTCCAGTGCAACATCCATCTCGTGCAGAGGTGCCTCTCCGAAAGGGGCAGTGCTGGACCTGCCAAGCTGCCTGATTTCGGGGAGCGATCTATGCGAGCGCAGGCAAGGAAGAACCTGCAGCCACTCCCAGCCGGCCATGCCAGCTTCTCCACTTACGAAGGGTTGCACGCTATCCCCAGTGTGAGCAGTCGACTCCCTGAGTCGGGCAGAAATACGCGGCACTGAATAGACCCCACAGTTTTGCTGGTTGAGACAAAACCCATTCATTCATTCATAGCATTTATATCCCGTCCACAAAAGTCTCAGGACAGCCTTAAGACTGACTGAAGATTCAGAGCATACGAGCAGCCAGACAGACAGTCCAATGCTTTCCCATTTGCGGCCTTGTACTTCTGGCCTCGGCTGGCCAGCCGGCCTGGCTCCCTGTTCTTGAACATGGCACCCGATGAGCTTCACCGAGTGTTTTCAGCAGCAAAGGGGCCCCGGACTCCCCTAGATTCCTGGAAGTTCCCTCAGCCAGGGCAAGCCAGCTCCATTCAGCAAAAGCTCGGAGCAAACGTGCCAAGAGCTCATCTTCAGCTCCTGGGTCCACAGATATTTCCCAAGCTGTTAGAATTAAATATACCTATTTAATTCTATCTGTGCTTCCTTGGTGGGAT